TTGGGGTTTACACATGAGTCTTCAGAATTGATTGAAAACTGTTCAGCTGATTTTGCAGTCCCAAAACAGATCTGGGAGATGCTGGGACTTTTGCCCAAAGGTTAGGAAAATCAAAACAATGGAAATATTAAATCAATATTTGTAGCAGGCCTAATTTTTGAGTCTCCACCAAAACCACAGAAGGTTTTTCTGTATGGAAGAAGAGTCAGTGTAAGGACGGACACAGGGCAGAGTCTGCACTGCTTTGCACTTTCTTATTCTCTGCCAGGGATGTATGTACACTGCCATTTATCTGAGAGCAGATCCACTGCTTCTGGGCTTTACATTTCTTTACAAGTGTTAATCACTGTAAAAATGTCCTTTGGTTTTACACGGGTTTTGCACAGGTGATGGGCAAACAATATCTCAGGTACCACTGGAACAATTAAATTGTAAAGCATCTCAGCAATCTTCTTTTCAGATTTTACTTTCAATTGTTTGACTGTGCATGAAAGAACCAATCTGTTTCTGATTTTCATGCCATCTGAAACCAGAGAGTGCAAAAGTCGTTGATATAGTGTGATACTTGTTTCCATGTCTATTGCAGCTAGAAATAATGAGATCGTTATCACACGGATATTGTCGCTGTAATCATAAGGGTTCCTGCTGGTGGTTAGTCAGGCGCTGGTGGCGGTGCGGGCAGGCGGGAGAGCCCCGGGGCCGGTGCCGCCGCTGAGCCCCGCCCAAAGCCGGGCCCCCCTGAGCGCGGCGCTCCGGCGGCTGCAGTGGCGCGGCGGCGCCTCCGGGTGTCGCTGTTGGCCGCCGCCGAGCGGCGCTGGAGCCGCCGCCGCCGCCGCCGCAGCGTCCTGCCCCCGCAGGCTGCTCGCTCGCCCGGCGCCGGCCACAGCGGCAGCGGCACCGCCGCCAGCAGCAGCGGCGAGAGGCGGCGAGAGGCGGCGCGGCGAGCTCGCAGCCTTTGAGCGGTGTGTGTTGTGGGCGGCGAGAGCGGCTGGAAGGGAGGCAGGGCAGCGGCAGGAGGCAGGAGCGCGGCGAGCGCTGCGGGCAGAGAATGGCGGTGAGGCGGCGGCAGAGGCTTGGGCCGGGCGGCGGGCGAGCGCTGCTGGCCGCGGTGCTGCTGTGCGTGTGGGGCCGGGCGGCGGCCGAGCGGGTCCGCTACGCCATCCCCGAGGAGCTGGGCAGAGGCTCGCTCGTGGGGCCGCTGGCGCGGGACCTGGGGCTCAGCGCGGACGAGCTGCCGGCGCGCAAGCTGCGGCTGAGCGACGAGAAGCAATACTTCACGGTGAATGAGGAGAACGGGAACCTGTACGGGCGACAGAGGCTTGGCCCGGGAGGCGGGCGAGCGCTGCGGGCCGCGGTGCTGCTGTGCGTGTGTGGCCGGGCGGCGGCCGAGCGGGTCCGCTACGCCATCCCCGAGGAGCTGGGCAGAGGCTCGCTCGTGGGGCCGCTGGCGCGGGACCTGGGGCTCAGCGCGGACGAGCTGCCGGCGCGCAAGCTGCGGCTGAGCGACGAGAAGCAATACTTCACGGTGAATGAGGAGAACGGGAACCTGTACGTGAATGAGAGGCTGGACCGGGAGGAGATGTGCGGCGAGTCGGCGACCTGCTCCGTCAGCTTCGAGGCGCTGGTGCACAACCCGCTGAACGTCTTCCGCATCGAGGTGGCCATCGAGGATGTGAATGACAACACACCGCGCTTTCTGCGGAACAAATTTCTGCTGGAGATCAACGAACTTACTTCTCCTGGCACCCGGATTTACTTGGGGATGGCAGAGGATCCGGACGTGGGCAGTAATTCCCTACAAGGCTACGAGCTGGAGGCCAACGGGTATTTCACGGTGGATGTGAAAGAGAGCCAGGACGGCAGCAAATCCGCAGAGCTGGTGCTGCGCCACGCATTAGACCGAGAGAGCGAGCCAAGCTTGCGTCTGCTGCTGACGGCTGTGGACGGCGGAGAGCCGCCCCGGACTGGCACCGCCCAGCTCTGGATCAACGTCACCGACGCCAATGACAACCCACCCGTGTTCGCGCAGGATCGGTACCGCGTCAGCCTGCGAGAGGACACGCCTCCGGGATCGATAGTGCTGAACATGTCAGCCTCAGACGCCGATGCCGGCACCAACGCCCACATCACCTACGGCTTCGGGGACATGCCGGCCAAGGTGCTTCAGAAGTTCGTGGTGGACGCCCAGAGAGGGACGATCACGCTGCGAGAGGAGCTGGACTTCGAGGACACGCGCGCGTTCAGCCTGGCTGTGGTGGCGAAGGATGGAGGGGGTTTGGTGGCGCACTGCAAGGTGGAGGTGGAGGTGCTAGATGTGAATGATAATCCACCTGAAATCACTATTCTTTCGCTCTCGAGCCCGGTGCCCGAGGACGCACCAGTGGGCACCGTGGTGGCCCTGCTGAATGTGAACGACCCGGGGCCCGAACAGCAGTGCCCTGACGGGAGAGCTGCCCGCCGACCCGGACGCACCGCAGGTCTGTAATGCCGCGCGTTCGTTCTGTTATTGAGGCTTTCTTATCATCGTCCTTTCTCCCCTTTTTTTCTCGGCATGGTGTCCATTACAAGGTTTCATTTGTGTCTCCATGTAGTCGTGGGAAGTTTTTATCTTTTCTTTGGTATCGACATCTGTTTCAGCTGAGGTGCTTGGACTATAACTCTCTTTTTAACTTGGAGCGGTGTTCCCTTGTTTTCCGGCGTTATATTGTTGTGGGAGGCACACACCTGTTTCCACGGGTTAAGGAATTTACTTAAGAAACTCAATAAAGGAAAGGGGTATTATTCTTCCTTTGAGAGCAGGACCCTAGCAGTAGCACCCGGTTCTTCCTTGGTAACCCAGTCAAGTTCAATTGAAGACATTTTTTCTTCAAAACTCGTGCTCTATAAATTCAATGCGTTTCTAGCGCTGGTTCTGTGTGATGGAGTAGAACAAAAAAAAAAAAAAAACCTGATAAGTGATGTAGCTTTTTTATTTCCTGATTTTTTTCAGAAAGGGTGCATTTGAAACTGGTTTATAGCTTTACACATATACGCTTATTAATTGGTTGGGGGGTTGTCTTTTGGACTCAAAGGAAACCTTTTTGGAATGTTGTGTTCTGCAACCTGAGTGAAAGAAAATAATTACTCTCCTTTTGGGGGGTAATGCAGTAGTGGGCTGGCTTCCTTTTTGCATCCTGCCTTGTAGTTCCCTCTTTTACTCTCATGATATTTTTTTCATACAGAGGAGAAGGTCCAGAAATGTTTGTTTCGGATGTTTTTCTTTTTCCTTTTGTCTTTACCCTAAGGGTTTGAGATTTATGGAGATGTCGAGTTTTTGGAGAATAGCAGGATTTTACAAGGATTGCATGTCTTTACAAGGACTGACATCTGAGATAGGAATATCTGAGAGTATCAAGGAGACTAGCCAAATGACAGTTCAGGCACGTGAATCGAACTCATCTGTACATTTTTCACACGTCATCCGAGTTTCGAGTGGGGAAGTGTAATTTTCTTCTACTGTTCTACAACTCTCCTTGAAAATCTTGTAACAACCTGATTAAAAAATTATTCCTGTGGTACTTTCTTAATACACTTCAATGCTTTACAAGTTGATTACTGATGAATTATTTTTCTTGTGGCTGTAGAATTACTTGATTAAGTGTAAATGGGTTAAAAGTAAGGAAACAAAAAATATTAACCGAGGATACCGAGATTCAAACATTTGAATCTTGGTCCCTTCAAGTTTCCCTTTGAGAGTACTAGCTGCATCTTTATTTCTACCCATAATAATCACATAACAATTAGCTCCCTCACTTCAAGTAGCATGCAATTGTTCTTTTCCTGCTTATATTAATGACCTCATTAGGTTATCGGTGTGTGTGGGTGCTTATCTAATATTTTCAATCTCCCGGTTGCTGAAGATGTTTTTTAACAAACACAGTAAGACTAATGGTAATCTAGAGTTTTTAATTTACATATATTGCCATTACTAACTTAGTAGTACCTCCTGCGGTTGAAGCGCCACCCGCACGGAATGCCTCTGTATTCCTCGCGATCATGATCCCCTGAACGATCAAAGCAGAGATCGGCTGGAGAAAAGGCAGTGCAGGAGGTCACCGCTGCACGGGAAAATTGTCTCCGTGGCAAATCTCTGGTCCTCCCGAGCTGTCCGTGTGCCCGGAGCGCCGGGCAGCGCTCGGTGCCTGCAGTGCCGGGCGGAGGCTGCGGGCGCCGCTGTTGACCGAGAGGAGCGAGAGGAAGCTCGGAGCGCTGCAGCCCCGCCCGCTGCGGACCCGCTCGATCGCTCGCTCGCTCCCTGCCCGAACCTGCGGCCAGCGATCGTCCCCGCGGTGCTGGTCCGTTCTGGAGCCAGGCGGAGGGGCCAGCGGCAGCGCACGGTGCAGGAGCTGACAGCCTTGAGTGATAGCGGGACTGGATCGGCGGTGCTGCGGTGCCGGCGGTTCCGCTGCGGAGATGTGCGCGGCGGGGAGGCGCTGGGGCCGGCGGCAGCGAGCTCTGCTCGGGGCCGTCCTGCTGGCGGCGTGGCAGGCGGCGTGGGGGCAGCTGCGCTACTCGGTGCCCGAGGAGATGCCCAAGGGCTCGTTCGTGGGCGACGTGGCCAAGGACCTGGGGCTGCACCTGACGGAGATCAGCGATAATGCCATCCGCGTTGTCTCCGAAAGTAGTACGCAGTATTTTGCTCTGCATGGGAAGACGGGACATTTAGTGACATCGGAGAGGATCGACAGAGAGCAGCTGTGCGAGAGTGTTCAGCAATGCGTGCTGCGCTGTGAACTCATAGTAGAGGGGGATATGAAGTTCTATGGAATAGAAGTGGAAATTGTGGATATAAACGACAACGCACCGAGCTTTCAAGAGGCAGATACGGATCTGAGACTGAGCGAGACGACAGCCCCAGGATCGCGGTTTCCCCTGCCAGACGCCCATGATCCTGACTCGGGCCGGAATTCCCTGCAGAGCTACGAGCTGAGCGGCGACGAGCACTTCTCGCTGGCCGTGCAGGCGGGCCCCGGCGGCGATCAGCGTCCCGAGCTGGTGCTGGCCAAGGCGCTGGACCGGGAGGAGGCGGCGTTTCACGAGCTGGTGCTGAGGGCGATGGACGGCGGCGATCCGGCACGGACGGGCACGGCTCGGATCCGCGTGACCGTGGTGGACGCGAACGACAACGCGCCCGTGTTCAGCCAGGCGGAGTACACGGTGCGAGTGCCCGAGGACGTGCCCGTGGGCTCCACCCTTGTCACCGTCACGGCCACCGACGAGGATGAGGGGCTGAATGGGCATGTGAAATACTCTTTAAAAAAAAAAAAGAGTTCATCGCAGATATTCCATCTGGACTCTGAGACGGGAGCAATCACTCTGGGACAAAGCCTGGACTTCGAGAAGGGCTATGCATATGAGCTGGATCTACAGGCATATGATGGTGGGGCTCTTTTTGATTCAGCAAAAGTTGTGATCACCGTGACAGACGTCAACGACAACGCACCCGAGATTTCTGTGCGGTCTGCATTAGGCGAGATATTGGAAGACGCCCCCTCGGGAACTGTCGTGGCCCTTTTGTACGTGCACGACCGGGACTCGGGGGTGAACGGTGAGGTGCGCTGCTCGATAGACAAAGAGGTTCCGTTTCGGCTGGAGAGCTCTCACGGCAGCTACTA